AGGTTGGTAAGTTTCATGTACCTGTAATTTCACCAGCACCTTTACCCTTCCAAACCGGGATGCATTAATGCTCACATTACTGCTTGCCGGCAGAAATAGGTATAGTGGCAGTACTTCCTTGGACGAACTCTTTCACAGCTCTGCTGCTACTGAATTAGAGTTGATTCTACATATATAGTGTTTCAACTGGTAATACGTACATATACTTCACTCTTCTCCCATCGGTGTAAGCAGACATATCAGCCTTCAACTGGCTACAATTCTGACACGCCTCATCAACACGTATCTTCCTTACATGCTCGTCAGTTATGGATACTCTTAACCTGGCTCTTCTTTAGAACGTCCTCAATTTGGTCACGGTCAGGTCGCCTCAGTTGGCCCTTGCAACATGCCTGCTCACTCTCGCCTTTTAAATCTGGCCCTGTACTCTCGTTCTACGTCTCAGTAATACTCAACTTAACCAAATGAAAAAATGCATGGTGCGAATGAAGCTCCATACTTCACATTGTTTTCTAATTTGGTTGAGTATTACTTAGGTGGTAGTACTTCCCTGACCGAATTCTTTCACAAGGAGCTCTACTGCTACTAAAATACGAGAAGAACACTATAACTGGAACCTGTGCAAGCAAGCCCGCACAGGGACCAGACTGTTGGCATGCTCATTTCCCGTCGTGCATTGCACAATTAACGGTTGTCACCGCTAAGCCGTTGACTCTAAACTCCACTACCAAATCTTCACTTTGTAGCCGTAGCGTCTCTCCAGTTTCCGAACACCTACGCGGCTGAAGGGACCGGAGGATTTCTAGCCAATAGTCATAGGTACATGCCTCTACACTGCCCTCTCTCCGTAACAAAACTAACAAGTCGACATTTTTAGCGAAATTGAGTTATTAACATATTATCTGGAATCAGTGACACGGGATCTACGAGCCCCCTCTAATCGCTTTTTTATATCTTATTTAGTTTCAGTTTTATTGTTAAGCAAAAACAGCGTTTAACTGCATCTATGGCCGAACGGTTGCTAGACTGTCACGCAGAGGCCATGGGTTTGTTCCCAGGCCGGGAGAAACATTTGTATGGCCTACATTTAGTTCTCTCCTGAGTTTGGGTGTAATTTGTGGTTGTCTATGTATGTGTCCGTGGCACCTTCGATTCAGGCTGAAAAGGTTGTAAACCCTAATGAGCACTGACCAGGTTCACGGCAACAAAATCAGAAAACTTTAGCTCCACGGAAGTATATTAAGTTATTGGTAAAGAGAAAAAAGAGGCTGTAACAAAAAAGGCATATAAAAAAGGTGTATAAAAACAGGTACGATACTACAAAATACTCCCTAACTTAATTACATACGGATATGCTTATGGATGAATATAAAGTAGACACTTACCTCAAAAGGGCCGAGTTATACTGAATTAAGATTGATATTAAAATTGGCACATGATTAATAGTAGTTATTACAAATTGTTATCAAAATTGGTACAAGATTAGTAGTAGCTATTACAAGTCTGGTAAAGGAATCAAAATTAGATGCAATTGAAATTTAAACAGCACTGTACGCTGCCGCGTTCGAGCAGGGAGTGACGATGGAACGAAACAAAATCAGAATGGTGAGGCAAAAGAAATTATTAAAGAACGATTCAAAATTTAAAAACAAGTGGCCAGGAAGCGGAGAAAAGGCGATAAAAAGGTGGAATGACGATGTAAGGAGGTCACATCGTCACAAGGCTTTCCCTATAATTGACATTTTAGGTGACAGTAAAACTTCAGGTTCCAATATCTGGAAAGTTATCGAAATGCAAATGCGTTAGTTATGACAAGAAGGGCAGTGCAGGAGTTCGAACCGTAGACCTTTCAATTGACAAGCGCCCGTTCTCCTACTGAGCTATCACTGCTCTCCTTTACAGTACATCCTCAAGTTAAGATTCGATACAACCTCAAATGGCTTTGGTTGATTCCGCATACCAGTGAAATCTTTGAATCCATCACTTTGTAAAAAATATATAGTAAAATTGAAGATATACACTGATTAATTAGTATAAACTGCTGAATAAATAAAAAAACTGCTATGTTCAATACGTACTTTACATGATAACATACCAATGATTTTGTTTTTATATCAACTGGACTAAATAGAACACGTATAGTATACGATATGCTACAATGGAGATATACTTTATTAGCTTTAATTACGTTTATAAAAAAAATACTGCATACACGGCCATGGCTGTCTTGACAAGAAACAAGACCCGAAGGTTTTATTTGGGGCATTGTAGTCAAGTTAGACTGCATGCAATCATATTATTTACGTGCATGTGTAATGAAAAACATTGTATGTTTCTCGGGCGGCACGAGAAATACGAACCTTGACTCCGGAAGCCCGAAGTCGAAGACTGAGGGCTTCTAATTGAGTCTCGTTCGTAATTCCTTATTCGCCGCCCTTAATACACAATGTACTATATAAAAGGTAAGAAATATAAGAAACTAAAATAGTAACTATATTGTGTAAAAACTGTAACTACAAAAACCCGCCATTTTTTTTAGTATAAAAAGGCAACGTGAAATTTGTTATCAGTTATTGTTCATTTCGCTGTATAAATTTTCATTAGTAAAATCGTCAACGATCAGGACATGCGCTAACGCGCGCCGGTCGTATGCGGGACACACAATGTCCCGAAAATAACCGGCGACATTTCGCGACGCACTAATTACACGGAATCGGGACTCTATTGTATCATCTTGTAGTTGCTAGTGTTATCTTGTTTGAGTCAGTAATTAGTGTTGTGTGATTCATTAATTTCTAAAATGTCTTGACGTCATTTCATTCGTCATGGATTTTAATGGCGATTCTAATTTTGGTGTCCGAGTTCACAATTATAGAAACTAACGTATTTTTTTAAAATTATTTTTATGATAAAATAAGTGCACATTCGACCTTCACCTCACCTGATGGAAAGCGATAAATAGGTCAACGATGAAGCATGCACGCCTAAATAATGCCTATTCACTTTCGCCTTGAACCCAAGACCTAAGTTATAGCATACACAAGATAAGTCTGCAGGCAAGGAATTCCACTCCGCCGTTCGCCATGTAAATGTGGAAGCGTAACGATTCGTGCGAATCTTTGGAATATATGCAACGTTGTGGTGGAATCCCAGAAAGAGAAAGGCGGAATTAAATCGTGTAATTCCATCGTACACCCTCTATTTTACTATTTATTTATCTGTCACTTGATTAGAAGGTGAATAAAGCGAATATCGTGATTATACCTGATTGTAAAAGTTCAACAAAATCTGAATTAAGTGTAAATTCCCCAACTCACACTGGGCTGGTATGGAATTTTGTATGCTCTGATATTATGGGAAACATTAAGAAAAAAATATAATTTAATAAATAAAAAAGACGATGTCACCGCTCTTGAGACTGCGTTCAAGTTCTAATAGCATCCGAAATGTTTGTTACTAGGATCGATGCGCCGATACTGTGTCGTTTTATCCAGGTTTTGATGTGATGATGTGGCAGTCGACCCGTCTATATTGTATTTTGAGTCATTATATATCTACTAACAACAGTTTATATTTTGTATTACTAACAAATTGACCCAAGATGTTTTTAATGAAAGATGTAATTAATTTCTAAACGACTTGAAATTTCACAAAAGCAAATTGCATTTTCTATGAACTATCTTGTACTGAATCTGTATGGTGTAGTTGGGTTATTATCTAAAGAAACTGTAGTACTTAACGTACTACGGTCTGAAATTGAATAGATACTCCAAGCAAATGAGACCTTTTTTCTCAAAGTTAATAAGATGAATAAATATCACTTGTAGTAGAATGAACTGATTTCCAAAAGACTTCCAGAAAATCAGAATCATCGATATTCTATGAATAATTTTTAGTATAATTGTTAAAAGGTAACGAACTTTTTTAAAATCGATTCTGATTTGAGTGTTCTGGGTAATGCCACGGAAGTTAGTTAGTTACTCTGGTACTCATAGCACATGGAATCCCATATTGAAACCAGATAATTAATATGATCGTCTAGCACATTATTATTATCACATTAACCGTTGATTGAGTATTTATTATAAATATTGCCAAATCATCTGATTCTCGACGTTCAAAGTCTACAAAACCGTCGGATTCAGTTGCTAATGGTGATTCACCACCAATTTCGTATTTAAGAACTCATCGCATTATGTAAACAATACCAGCCACGTAAAAAAGCTGACAAAAAACACGGAAAATCACGAGACACCAACGAGAACACAAACGGGAATCTCACAAACGAGGTCCGCCGCGACCGATGTAATAACCACATCAAAAACCTATAAACAAAGGTCGAAGGTCAGCTCATCGCTCCAGTTGCGAGAACAAAAAACATCTTACAGTTAACCCCGTCCCCAAGTAAAGGGGTCTTTTTCTTACAGCGTTTTTTGGCAGAAAAAATCCGACGAACGCTCTCTCGCAACCAAATCCGTATTCGTGGCCTGCCGGCTGCAGCGCGCGGTCGCCCCACGAGTAAAACGTATACAATCTACTTAGTAAAATACTCCAGGAGCGCGGGAAAACTCGATCCAAAATTTTCAAATAAATACAGTTCAAGTTCGAAATTTTATAAAAAAAAAATTGATTCGAACTTTGATACTGAAAAATATAATTTCGATAACACTGTAGCCCGTGTTTATTATTATGATTCTTACAAATTAAACCGTGTATTGTTTTAAATATTTCGACATTGTCGGAATTCTATTGTGTGATTCTTAAATTGTTTAATGTTTTGCTTAATCTAGGGCTTTGTCGAGATGAATTCGTTTGAGTTTACATATTTGTCGGATATAAACAATTGATAATTTCGCGGAGGAGTCGTGCGTGGTTTTTATGAATGTTTTTGCGTGTCGGCTCTGGTGGGGGAAGGGTGGGGCCTCGGCAGACTCGTCCCTCTCTAGCGCGTATTTTGATTTAGTTTCCAAGTCTTACGCAGATGTGCTGATTTTTTTCAGTCGCGTGTGTTAGGCGCGCGCGGCTGCTTCTTTTCCGCGTTTTTGTGCGAATTTTTGGTTCGTCGTTTTCCCGCGCGATTCGTTTACAAACTTTTCCCCCCGTAACTTTCAGGTGTAAATAGAATTTAGTACAAAACTTTGTTGAATTTAGAAACGAGTGTGTGTGTGTGACTTTGGATTATTGTGACCAAGCGCAGTGACATTGTGTTGCGGTGTTTATTATTTGCACTTCATTTCAAGTTTGGATGTCTTAGTTTAAGGTAAGACTGAAACTTTATCATCTGTTAACTTTGTAGTTATAAATAGGAGATTGTACAAAATATACTTACGTAACATTAAAAATAAATTTAGGTAAAGTTTTATCGACGTTGTAGAAAAGATCTACCTAACTTTGGATGCAAAGAATATTGAAATTACGATCTATTTTTAAAATTAAATTCTTTCTACTTTTCTTTGTGTAATGCAAAGTGCGCAATAACTATTACACAAGTAAATATGACGAAATAAATCAAAAACTTTCAACATAGTAACTATTAAAAGTTTACTTTTAATTAACTGTGTGACCGCATTTGAAAATAAATTTATTATTGTTATTTATCAAATCTACATTTAACTAAACTTCTAAGAATACACAATAAGAGTGAATAATAACTCCCTCAGAAATCCATTGTATTGTGTTTTGTTTTATATTTTTGATATACCTAGCAATTACTTTATTACGGCTGTTTATTCAGAAGAAAACTTTTGTAATTGTAAGTAAAAAATACTACTTTTTAAATTTATTTTTCTATTATTTTTAAACTTCAGAAGGAGGTATTTACACTGCATTATGTATGACTTGTAAACTTTGTCCATACCGATATTTGATTATAACATATATCTTACTGCCTCGAACTTTTACTTAAAACACATTCTAATAGGAAAGAAAACATGTTATAATGCACATTATTGCTTTTTTTGTAAAATGTGGAAGTGATATTATTTCGATCATGCGTTTTATTTATCTTAATAAAGAGTGTTAATGTTAAATTTTATCTTATAGTTCGAATTTCAAATTCAAATTTAGAATATTTTAATGTTGTAGGCACCTAAGAAAATTATATTTTATTTTGAAATCTCCATAAAAATAATGCAAGAAAATAAGTGAATTAAATGTACGGATAAATTAGTTAAATAACAGTAGTGTTACATACCCTTTTGTACAAAATTGCTGAAATAGTAACCGAGATCAGGTTCAAAGTCACTGCCCAAATTCAAATTCTTTATTTCTATGATTGCTTCTACTTTTTACAGGACTTTTTACAAAAAGTCCAGAAAGAAAGCTTAGATAACTAGGCTAATAGATTACATTTTTACATTAATGTAATTTAGTAGCAGTAAAACTCCTTGTGAAATGGTTCGTCCAGGAAAGTACTGCCAATTTATCTATTTCTGCCGCTAAGCAGTAATGTGAGCATTACTGTGTTTCGGTTTTGAAGGTGCTGGTGAAATTACAGGCACATGAGACTTGTTAACTTATGTCTCAGGATAACATGCGCAGTGGCAGTGCCCCTCATACCTTTACGATTTAAAGCTCTGACTGGCACTGTAGCTGCTTTAGACAGGCGTGTCGCTTAGCATCAGGCGCACGACTTGCTTGTCCTGTCACCTGGTTTAATAAAAATAGTAATAATAATTGTCAAGCTCAAAGGTAAATATCTCTTTTATTAATAAAAAATAATTTTCGCTTCACTTTTACACAATTCTGCCAATGTGCTGGTAGAAAAAAAAATTGAAATCATTTCACTTAATATATGTACATACGTAGATCCCATATTACCGTCTCGCTCGGGTAGACAGACACTACGGATCTTCATTTTTATGTAGAAGATAAAGTAATAAGAGATTTAGAGTAACTAAGCATATTTGATATATTTGCTACGTTCATGAATTGTTTTGGTTTTGAGATACACAAATTAAAATTAGAAGTTACAAACGTGCATATTTAGCAGAGCGGTGACTGACACAGCCTTGATAAGCTAAATAGGCTAGCTAACTCCTATGTCTTTTATTACTTACTGAAATAAAGCTTTTTTGTATAAGTATCATAAAATAATTGTTATAATTATTACATAAACTCAGTATTTTAAGATGTTTAATTAATTTTGCATACAATTTTTTTTACCGAAAATTTTAATTTTAGTCTCGCAGCCATTTTTATTTTTGTTGACATTTTCGTCTCATTAGACACGTAGCAAAAAAAAAACACATAGCCTTTATTTAATATTGAATTAATTATCAGCTAATGGATGAATAACAGTATAAATGTAATGTAATAATGCGCATTATGTAATGTATATTATTATCAATAATGTATAGATTTCGATTTTGTCTTATAGGTGGGTGTCATAACATATATTTGATCGATTGTGACTTGCTTATTCTTGTATTGATTATTATAACTTGATTTTGATTAGGCAAGCTGGACATTGAATCCAGATTTGGAGGCTAACCTCATAACCGACCTTAAGCTGTTGGAACAATGAGGTACTATCGTTTCGGTTCAGAATTACTGTTAAAGTCAGGGGTGGGCAAACTTTTCTTATCTGGTCAGAAAGACATTAGATATTTCATAGGGGGCCTGAATTGAAAAAATTCTTTTCTTGACATTTTTTGTCATTTTGTTGTGTTATGTGATTTTGTGCATATTATACTGCGCATCATGCGTTATACATAGTTCTACCGCTAAGCAGTAATGTGAGCATTACTGCGTTCCATTTTTATAGAGTAAGGGTGATGAAATTACGGACACGTGGGACTTGTCAACTCGTATCCCGGTGACAGTGTCCCTCAGACATTTAAATTATGAGTGGCACTAGAACTGCTATGGACAAGCGTGTCGCTCACCATCAGGTGCACGCCTTATTCGTCACGTCACTTGGTGTCATAAAATAAAACAGAATCTCTAACAAATAAAGAAATGTAGTCGTAGTTGGTGATAGGAATTTGGTATCAAAAACTTCAGCCTTCTTCGACATGCAGATTTCATCACAATGTTTTCCTTAACAATTAGTCTATATTGCTGCTAAATATCCACAAACGTATGCAGCTAAAAAGTACAATAGGGTACTGCCGCTAGTAAAAAACAGTTGCCACATGGTGTGGTGTAACGGGCTGGTATCCGTAAATCGATGACTAGGCGGCTGTTTTGCGTGTGGTGGGAGTAGAGTCCTATTAGTGCCATCCAAGCTCCTCCAAGAATCTCAGTACTTGGGACTACCGAAGACTTCGACATTGTAAAAGGATATGCGAGACCGTTTCCCCCCAAACTTCATGTACAATTGATACATTTTGCCGTTCGCTAACAAAAACGCGGCTTTGTGAAATAATTGTTTGAGATATCATAACAACATATGCATAACGCATACAGTCATAGCCCCGCACAAGGGAATCCCTGTATCGTAGGTGCCATGGACATACATAGACAACCACAAGTTATGTATGTCAGCCATACAAATATTTCTCCCGTCCCAGGAATCGGATCCGGGACCTCTGCGTGGCAGACTGAGTCTTAGGATATTGAAATTGTTTAATGGTATTTATGCATCATTAGGGTAAATTCCGATATATCACATTAACTATTTTTATATAGAGAATTTTGCGCTGTAACATATTATACTATTCAAAATTACGATCAGCTCTTGACGGAACTTGCTAAACAAATCACCAACATTAGAACGAACAAACACGAACATCAGAAAAGCTTATAATCCTTTTTTAAATTATAATCGTTTGAAGACTTAATTCAAAAGTTGACATGTGGGATCTGCATGCTCAACGCGTAAGTGGGTTAATGGCAACACTGAACCGGAAAGACAGAATGCCAATGCTATCAGACTGTCTTTCGCCATATCTGGTTAGCCGACAGAAAAGTATATACATAGGTTCATCCAAAAAAGGAGTATTTACTATTTAGTCTCCAAGCCGTTGAACATCTCATGGATCTATCCTATAGTCCCTTTATATGACACCTATTACATAATATTATGAGCTTCTTCCATTCATGCTTTCACATAACAAAACATCCTCAATAAATAATTGATTGATAATATTTTTGTCACAAACATGTATTACATACAACATTATGTGAAATAAGTTGCTTTTAAATAATCTCAGTACAGAGTACTAAAAAAACCGTCCTCAAAAGTCATTCTTCCCCTAGTTTGCCACCCTTAGAAGTGGAATATTTTCTTCAAATGAGACCACTACAGACATACTCTCTTTCCAACAAAAAAAGAATCATCGAAATCGGTTCTCAATTACCGGAATTATCGCGTAACATACATACAAAAAAAAACTGTCGTTTAGTGATGTCATTTGTCATATTTTGCCTCAGTATTCATTCAGTCTTACCGGTACTTTCCATTTTAATCCAAGTAGAGATAACTATTTTGACATAGAATTGGGCTTTATGACAAAATAATTATCACTGATTTGAAGAAACGACAGTTAATTTTTAACGTGTTAAGAGTAACCCCATCGATTAAAGACAAACAGAAAAGAACTGCGTTTTAGCAACCAATAATATTTCACTATTTTGAGTGAGTAAACCGGAGTTGTGAAAATTATAACTACAGTTGTTGATATACTGCTCATTTATTCGTTTTGGTAGATCACGAGATAGTGAACCTTACAATACCTCATCTAACGTTACATACGTGACTTTGTGTCAAGAATGTACATAAATACTTAGTAACTACGACATAATGGTACTGCATACTATATTAAATCCACAACAAAATATCTTACCAAAAAAGCTTTAATTTAATTAAAGTTAAAGTATGTAATATATAAAAGGCATTCTGTACTTACAAATCGTACAATTATTAGGCAATTATATGGCAGTGTTTTTAAAACGCATACCTCGTTAGTACGGCATAATATCACTGCATGCTACTTTAATTTCTCAACAAAGTGACTTACAAAAAACTTTTAATTCATCCAATGTTCTTTACATAAATAGTGATATAACTTAATTGTGATTTGGCAGATTTTTTTACTCTTATTATATTGAACGCATACCCTGCTTAGTATGGTGTAATAGCACTGCATACAACTTTGATTTCACAACAATACTTACCATAGTCTTTAATTTAATAAAAAATACAATGACAATACAGAACAGTAGTATAAGTAAATTAGAATAAGCTAGCGTACAATAGATAACCCTAGGGTGGTAAATTAGAAGAAGCAACAGGGGTGCAGCTATAGAATATCTGCT